CCCCAAAACCCCAAAACCCCAAAACCCCTAATTAATGAATCAAAGATATGCAGAAGGAAATAATAAGCTTTAATACTTCATTCTCTTGAATTAAAAAACATAATATCTGGAGATTTATTTCACAATTTTTGCCTAAAGATATCACATTTCATTTAAAGCTCTCTCCACTACGGCTAACTAGTATTTAGTCATTGCTTGACTCTCAAGAATTCTCTAGTTCTATCCCATTCAGATACAATTCCAAATAAGAACTCCTTAGTTGTTGGGTATCTTTGAGCGTATGAATGGATGATTTATTCAAAAGTTTCAGAGTAGTTGACAACTTAAATGTCATTCTCGTCATTTCTGACAAGATTAGCATTCAATTCAATTCTTCTAGGCTTCTTTTTCTCAATAACAATGTCTCTGATCTTTAAGAAAATACCATCAACAATACTGTATCGCTGCCAGAACTTTTCAGCTCTGTCAATTGCTCCAGAGCTCTTATAAGTTTGCAGAATCATGAGGAACTCTCTAATCAATTCTTTGCCTTCCTTAGCAAGGAGTTCTTTGTCCAAGTGAATGTAGAAGTTATTGGCATCTACAATTTCAAAATCAACAATCTTTGATTTTTGGTTTTGGTAGATATACTGAGAGAATACATAAGCACCCCAGGTGTGAGCTTGACCCCATTTGTTTGTCTCGACATTGAATAATTGGAGGCCTAAGATACCCTTTCTGAATTGATTCATAACGTTGACCCAAAGAACAGTGTCGACTTCATGGTCTTCAAACCCAAATAAGGTGTAAACTTCTGGGAGAGTGCAAAGATAGAACCCACAGGTGTCTGCTCTGCATTCTTCGTAACTAGTAGAGATTGAACCAAACTTTCCATTCCAGTCCTCGCCTTCTTCATAGCATGAAGTGAATTTTTCGCCAGTAACTGGATCTACAAACTCAGGGATGTTCTCAGATCTGTAAATAAGTTTGCCTACTCCATGGCCTAGCAGTTCGTGGCAAGCAACATGCACTTCATAGCATTTAGTAGTATTATCAACCAAAACTTTTGTTTGCTCTTCAGTGGCGAATTACATAGCTGAAATGGCATAGCTTGGCATTGAGTTATTAAGGAAAACATTCTTGAATCCTTCATTGTCTCTTATATCATCGTAATTTGGAATGTTGATTCCAAGTGGGCAGCTGTTTGTAGCAAAAGCAATGATATCAAGAGTGGTGAAATCTGGAGCGAGGAAACTGTCTTTCTCCATTTCCTTTGGCCAGGGAAGTAGTGGGATTATTTATTCAGAATTCTCCACAAGCTTCTAGAACTTCAAGGACTTCTGCTTGTCCACAACTGCAACCCATCCTTCGAAATAAGCTCTGATATTTTCAGGGTCGATGTAGACCTCGATCCAGCCCATGTTGCATTCGACAACTGGACCCTTATCCTTAATCCATCTTCTCTGAGATTCTTTGTGAGTCTCGATGTCTCCTGTTTTAAAGTGCTCAATGTAAAGTTCAATCATTTCTCTCTGTAAGTCGTTTGCTGCATAGAGCTTAGCCTATTCTAGATATTAGTTGCATTCCTCAAGGTATTTTGAGAACTCTCCGTGCTATACTGTGAACTACTTGTCCTTAAAGGTCACTTCTCTCTCTCCAGTGTTGATACTTCCGACAGTGATCAAGTAAGTGCCATCATCTCTCTTGAAAGCTCTTGTGTTGAGTGGGTTGATCTTTTGATCAGCCAAAAATTCTCTCACGAGATCAAGATCTGCCATGACCATATTAGATGAGAAATAAGCAGTGATGCCCCCTTTCTCTGGGTAATTGAGAGTAGTAAAAGGCTTTTCAAGAGCGAAGATTTCTCTTTCTACTAGTGGGTAGACTCTGTCCAAGAGTTCAGCGTAGAAAGAAGTGGCATCGGAGTACAAAGGATTTGAGTACAAAATAGCTCTGAATTTCTCTTAAGGAATCTCTGGGACGAATTTCATGTCTCCAAATGAGTGATAGTTACTCATGTTTCCGTAAAACCCTCCCACGTATGCTACGAACTTCTACCATTCCTCTTGGGTAACTCCATGAGTAGCAGCAGCTTCCTCCAAGGCAAGAAGATCCTTCTGCTAGAAATAGGCTTGGAAAAGAGTGAACAATGCTGGAGCCTCATAAGAGATTTAATGAGGAACCATGAGAGCACCTGCCCATGAGGCTTTGTAGATGTAGTAAGCATAGTTTCTTTCTTAGTCAGTAAGTTGAGTCCATGGCTTGACGAAGTCGAGGTATTGTACTCTTGTGTCTAATTTGATGTGATGCATCGTTAACTGTGTATTTTCAAAAGATATTAATATTGCAAATAAATCAGTTCAAATTAGAATTATTCACTTTCTTAACCAATTTTCTCAATAGGGGTTTTGGGGTTTTGGGGTTTTGGGG